CAGGCCCTCCTCGGTCTATCCTAGTTTTGATTTCAAGAAGAGTTACTAGACATATATGTAATAATGTATCATTGTGGTGGGCTCTATTCTGAGCACAGTGGTAGAGCTATGATGTGAAGATCCTCTGTACTGCCCTTGAGACTCTCGCGGTACACGCTGGAAATAAGAGAAAAGTAAATCACATGATACGAGAGGTCATGCTCTATAACTGTATTAAACAAGAATAAGGGGAGAATGCTGGAAACTTGGACTCCCATATATTGGAAGCTTTGTAAAACTCTGAGGTGAGGAGATCAAAACAAATTATTAAAGATTTAAAAAATTATGACATGGTTATCATTACATAGAGGATTGTATTTAGCTTTAGAAGTGAAAAAGAACTGCTCTATGTCCATGGAAGTGGACAACATAACTCCTATACCTTTTGCTCCAATGGTCCAGGTGAGAGAGGTGACAGCTTCTTTTGCTTTCCTTTTGGGTTTTCTTTATAAGCCCCTGTGGGAACCATGGCTGCTGCTGAATGGGGTGGCTATCAGATAACTGGGAATAAACCCTATCTTCTAGCAGACTTAGTGTGAGGCGGGAAAGGATGCATGATTTTCTGCCTCCTGTTGTTGGGCTGGCCCACTGCTATTGCTTCCTCCGGTTTCTAAGAGGAAGAAGTAGCCTGATTCTTTCACACAGATTTAAATGATGTAAAATTTTTTGAGCTCATGGAAGATCATATACATACCTACTCCTAATACTGCACCAAACTCATATATGTCTTACTGTGAAAAAAACAGCTTTTAAGATGGCAGCACGTTAAAAAAAAAAAAGATCAGATTCCTTTTAAAGCATACAGACCAAGTTATTTTATTGATGACTTTTTGTGTTTTGCATGTTCTTTGAAACATTTATCCTTCAACTTTCAAGGATGATTTTTGCCAAGTCATAGCACATTTCGAGCACACCCACAAACGTGTTTCATGAGATATGGACAATGGTGCGATATACCAAGATGTTGCTGGTGTTCAGTTTTAACATAGAGCTCTAGCTTCGAGATATTCAACAGGATCCTGCAATGTTGGTACCACTTCATTTTAAATTAGTGCCTCTTAACAACAAGAAAAAAGAAACTATTGGATATTGCTTTACATTGTTTTCTGAACTTATTAATTTATGCACCTGTATTTTTTTTTAGTTAGCAATAAACATACTGTTTTCTACATTTTCAAGAATAAACTTGTACCTATCTCAAGGGTTTTCTGAAGATCACACTAAGCATTTAAAACAATATTTGGCACATGGTAAATGCTCAATAAATGTTAACATATCATTAACCATGAAGTTTGTGTTTAAAATAAATTTAAATGCTAAAATATTTCTTGAATGCTTAATTGTACTATGGTGCTATGGTAAAAAAAAAGAAAAAAATCAAGCTTGTTTCTGCTAAGACCTTAAAATCTAAGATATATATTGCCAATGTTCTCATTTATGTAGATAGCAAATGAAACAAATCATTGTTATAATCACAACCAGGTCATGTAAAGAGAAGAGACAGTTTAAGAAGGTTTATGAATCCAGAAAGCACCCAGAATTTGAAAAGAGAATTCTCTTTTTGAAGAGAATCTGTCTTTTTTTTTAATGTTCAGTTAGCCAGCATATAGTACATCATAAGTTTTTGTTGTAGTGTTCAACAATTCATTAGTTGCGAAGATAATGCGTCAGCGGGATCCAAACTTCCTGGATTCAAAAGTCAGTAGAATCAGTGATTCCAAAAAGAATGGCTATGCTTCTGTCAGTTTAATAGTTGTTTAATATCTAAAAAATAGTGACTTCTTACTTTGAGGAAAATTTTTCTGGTAAATTATATACACTATGACACTTGAGAGTTATACAATATTTTTTTTGTATATTTGTATATTGTAAATATTATACAATATTTAATTTGTAGGTCGGTTCCATTATTAGCTGTTAAGCACAAATGGCAAGAATGCTTTTCCTTAACACTCTGACTCTCAGTAGCGTTCCAACTAATTCTCTAAGAGAGGAAAGAAAGCAAGTCAGATGTACTATGAGAGGGGAAGGCTTTTTTTTTTTCCAATTACAAAACCCTACAGTGAGTGAATGAGTGTGTTGGATGTTTTAAAAATGATGAAAAGTAGTAGGTTACCTCCCTTTATCACTGAGATCCAATTTTTCTGAACCTATTGTCTTCAAAACAAACCTACTTTTTCAATTTAATCTCAAGTAACATTTTAAAGCTACTAATGACAATTGAAATCTTAAAAGGCAACTGATTTTGTTTTGTACATCTAATCAGTGAAAGCGCATATTGTCATGTTCCAGCAACAAAAGATAAGAAATACTGGCTTTTCTATTTTGCACAGCAAAAAATGAGATGGCGAAAAGAAATGTGGGAACAGCCTTCAAAGGCTCAGTATTTCCACGGGGCATTTAAAGTGGATTGGCTGTAGAACTCTATGCTGTTTTGCTGGTGGAGGGTAAGGAAGTGTTTGTCACAGGTGATGTTAATCAGAGCTGCCATTTACTGAGCACCTCCTGGGTGCTGGGCACACCCTACATACTTCATTTCACACCAGTGTCAAGGCATTTTTGCAAGGCAGTTAGTCTTACCCTCACATTGCTGATAAGGAAACTGATGAAGTTATGTGAATAAGCAAGCAAGTGTTCGAACTCTGGATCCAAAATTGATTCTCTTTCCATACCATGCCAGAAAAGCCCTATGAGTAATGTCATTTTAAATATTAAGAAAAGAGCACGTTTTGTGAGGCCTCACAGGAGCCACAAAAATGAATTAACGTCCCTGCTCCCAAGGACTCACGGTTAAGTAGGGGATAGAATTCAGATCACAGTAAATGCGGCACATGATGTGAGGATTCAGACTCCATGTTTCCATCTAGAAGCTGAAACTGGGTTATCGGTTAGTTGTCAGCACACATACTCCAGCTGAAGAGAGCTGAGGGCGTAAGATACTCATTACATAGATACCCACTGACGCAGTGATAGGCCTGTGCATGATACTGGGTAGAATTTTGTGTTGATTTTTGCTTGGATGACGTTTGGGTCTTAGGAGTGTCTTATGAGTTATGTGCTGCATTTGATAAGACAAATACTTAGAATAAACCAGAAGGCTCTTGATCCATTACTGCATATTAATATACTGAGATACCCCTTCCACCATGTCATTCCTTGGTTCCCCATGTTCTTCCTTCACAAGTTCCTCACCTTTCTCCATTCATTTCCCTTCATGTAGACCCTCTGCTCACACTTACACAAACACACACCCACGCCTGAACGATCAAATTTTCTAAACAGCTTCACTCCCACCTCTGACTCTGGTCTCAATTTTAAGAAATTCAACATGAACCATTCACGTTGGCCTCCAAGGTAAGATTTCTTTACTGTAGTCTTAGGCTGACTTAATTATAAAACTATAAAGACCATAAGGGTAATTTCTTCCTATAAACATTAAGTTCAAATGTGAAAAGTCCACAGATAGAAGTACAGAGAAATTAACTGGAAAAGTTCCAGGAGGTTAATGTAATTCATACTTTAATTATTCTCTGAATTCTCTTGCTCTTGTTGAGAAGGGACAGCCACTCTAGTCTATTGCCTTTGATTTGTAAATTACTTTAGAGACAAGCCTAGTCTCCTGTTCTCTCTTGGTTCAACATTTTATTTTTATTGAAAAAAGTACATTTAAAATTGCCTTGGTGCTTGAGTAATTCACTTGATTAAATTAACCCAATAATACTGCTAAACTACTTTAAAAAATATGTAATAACAGAAATGCGCTATTCTTTTTTTATTGTGTTATGTTAATCACCATACATTACATCATTAGTTTTTGATGTAGTGTTCCATAATTCATTGTTTGTGTATAACACCCAGTGCTCCATTCAGCTATTCTTATTTTCAATTAAATAGTCAACCTAACACAAGAACACTCTCAGAACAAACAAGTAGGTTAAGATTTAGATTTTGTAATTTATTTTAAAAAATTTAAGTTGCCAGGCCCAAATATGTACACAATATTGTTAACTTAATTATCACACAATGAAAAGCCACATGGATTTTTAGTAATTTGGAAATAGATTATCACAGGAGAGTACTTCTTTGTTTTTATATTGCTTTTTATGTTTTACTATAAATGAGTGATAGCTGTATGGTTACAAAGATTTTGTCTCGTATCTAGAAGTTTCTTTTGGATTATTTAGGCTAATTTTCAAAGCTTTATTAAAGACAAAGTAGGGCTGGATGGATTAAAGAATTCAATTGAGAATATAGAACAACCTATTAAAATATTCACCTGCTTGTCAAGTTTGCACATCTTAGTGCATTTATAGAGTTATTAAGTTTCATTATACTGCATTTAGAGAGTTATTAAGTTTGCAAGGAAAAGTCATTAATTCTTTTCTTTGTCAGGACACCATGACCTCTTACATAAATAACTCTGCCAGTGGAACACAATGCATCAGTCAGTGCCCTGGAAGAGTTAACACTCGGCTGTCAGAAAAATTCTTTTAAATAGGTCATTCATACATGTATAACATCTCACTTCTTAAAGTGGGAAAACCTTTTTGTGTTGATTTATGCATTAGAGGATGAATGTGTCATTTTATACATCTATATCTATGTTATCTATAATGTATGTGTTTATGCATGTGTATACGTAAGGCATCTCCAAGCACAAGCTTTATTAGTGAGACTGAAATATCATCATCATCAGTGTAATACCCTATTTGCAGTGGAAGGAAATGTTAGGATCTCAGGTCCCCTTAATATATTTAAAACAATGACAAGTCTCCGAAGTTTGGAATGAGAACTTAGATACCATCCAGAAGTTACAAGCCTTTCATTTGACAGCACAATCATTGAACTACAATAAAATAGAATAAGTCATAAAGAACTACAGGTGAAGCCAACTGGAGTTTGGGGATCAGAATTCTAACTCAATTAATTATAAAAATAATGCTAACACACAAAAGCAAGCATGAAAGGAAATAATTGTTCTTCATTTTGAAATGTTAATGAGTAGAGACATTTTCCATCATTGAGTCACTGGACTCCTCATGATGAAATTTTCATCCTGAAACTGTACTGCCTAGGAAGGTATACAATATATTGGAGTACATAATTCACACATTCATTTTTCTTTTGACTGAAGTCTTGTGTCTTTGACCTCTTCCAAAATTTGGCTTGGGGAGCAGATTCTCATGAATTACTTTTCTGTGGAAGGATTATAGAGGGGAAAAAAAAAAGCAATAGTATGAGACACAGTTCTATTTAAGCACAATAGGAAATTAATACATAGAATACACTTTAGAATTCTATATTCTCACAGAGTTGTCCTTGAATATAATTATTAGGGAATGAAAGGAATTTTCTTACAGATCAGCATTATTAGAAAATAATATGTAAAGAAAGAATTTCTTAGAAAATCTATTCTAAAAGCCTTAGATAAGGCACAAACATAATTACTCTGCTCCTAATTTCTACAGAGATGAGAAGCTAACACAGAACTTGTATGGGGGTTGAATATAGTGAGAAGGCAGCAACTGATAAGTGAGTTGAATTACATATATGTCTCTGAACCTCAGGCAACCTCCCTTGTCTATAATCTTTCCTGGGAATAATTTTGTTTCTTGGACATTAGCAAGGAGCAGTCTGTACAACACCTCACTGCTAAATTCCTCTCTGATACTCGCACATGGGAAAAGGGCACTAGGTTTGTCTCTTTCATCAAATCTGGCCCTCAACCTTTCTTGGCTAGAAAGTTGGGTTTATGTTACTCCTGGAGAGTACACTAAAGGGATGAGAAGAGCTTTTGCTCTTGTGAAAATGGAGTGTTTTCCTCCATTTGGGTATCACAGGAACTGTGTATCCCAAAGATTTTCCTGTGAGAAATGAGTTGTTGGAATCACCCATGGCCACCAAAACAGACAGCTAGCTCAGATTCACCTATTCTCACTTCCTATCAGGTACAAACTATGTGCAAGTTCAAGGGCATTAAAGTAATTCATACCCTAACATTTCCAGTTCTCGTTGAGAAGACACGGTCCCTCTGTCTCTTACTGTCTTTGACTTGCACATTTCTTTACAGCAGTATGCTACAAAAATAGGACTAGAGCATTTTTAAATACTTTTATATATTTCCCAATATTTCCTGTGAGGTGGGATCAGATTTTATAACCCATTTCACTAACTTCCAAAGACACATTTAATAACTTCATTTGCACAAATAGGGGGAAATGAAAGAAGCCTGAAATTTGGTTCATCTGACTTTCCCCTGTCTTTCCACATATTTGAGGCATGAACTGGGAACCAAAGCATTCATCTTGCTAATATAGAAATGGACATAATTCCCTGCGGACAGCATAATCTGTTTTCTCCCATGCCTTTTGTCATGTCCTTCTGCCTGGAACTGCCTTGTCTTGCCCTGGGTAATGTTCATGGCTTTGGATGGTAAGCGCTCCATTTTAGAAATAGCATCAAAACATATATTTTTTAAATAATGCATGATGTAGATTAAAAAAACACATATTATCTCCACCTGCAAGTCCTATAACAAGGTAGCCTTTAGTAAATGAAGTGAATCTAGCACATGACTCCAAACTTTGTTAAGTATCAGCAGATTGGGTTTTACTAACCCTTTTCCCTGAGAACTTTGTATACACCATTTACTCTACAGAGCATGACCTTCCTGGGACTAAGTAATTATGTAGCAATCATGGTTAAGCTTCAAGAACAATCCACAAGATAACTTGATGAGGCAAGTCCTGCCTATAGGTTATGTAGCTGGAGTGAATCTTTAAAACTTTCTTTCCTCACTCCAAAGTCTAGGAAACCAAGCAAGTCCTTTGAAGATAAGTGCTTAGTCCCAGGTTAAAACTAGAATCCAAAAATGTATAGCTCTTCAGTTCTATCATGATTTTTTAAAAACATTTTATTTATTTATTTGAGAGAGAGAGAAAGAGAGCAGGGGGAGGGCAGAGGAAGAGGGAGAGGATCTCCAGCAGGCTCCCCGCTGAGCATAGAGCGCAGGTGGGGTTGGATCCCAAGACCCTGATCATGACCTGAGCCAAAACCAAGGGTCAGATGCTCAACTGATTGAGCCACCCAGGCGCCCCTGTCATGATATTTTTTTGTAATTATGGAAAAACCCTAGTCGATTTTGTAGGGGGAGTTAGGTCCTTTTTACTTGAGCCTTAAAGCCCATCCTAGAGATTTGTTCTTGGTGGATATCTCCCAAGATAGATATCACTTGGGCTTATGCTTCAGGTGACATCTAGTAGGAACTATATGCTCAATTATCGAGGTTATACAAGGGGCCATAATGAATGAAATAAATGAAATTGGCTTGGTATTTAAGCCAATAGCTGAGGCAGCAACCACTACTCAGCTCTTAGGAATTCCTCTCATGCTGGTACAGAGGCTCCAGAGTTATTAGAGTTTACATTTCTCTCTTTAAGGGAGTACTAATATTTGGGTGTTTTTTAATGTAAAAATCTCCCATTTTTTTAAAATTGGCAATGAATGCCCTTTTTAAAAACCACTCTGTAAGCTAATACTGTTCTGTGTGCACAAAATTCACCTGCAGTCTTCCATGTATTGTATATCTACTTAGCACATGCAAGTGGAAATGAAAATAGGGGACCAGATGACTGGCCAGTTGTGCAGAAGAGGTCATTTGGGTGTGGAGCCTACATTACTTATTAGAGCTAACAGGCATGAGCACTTACTATGGCCAAGAACTGTTCTAAATGCTTTACTTGTTGTAGCTCATTCAATGAAACTCCATGAGGTCAACATTATCATTATGTCCATATTAAATTATTTCCTCATTAACTATCATTATCTCCATAGTAGGAGCTTGCTCACAGTTACACAGCTAGTAAGTGTTAGAGTATAGATTCAAATCCAAGTCTGGCTGTAGATCAGGGGCTATTAAACTCTATACACTGTAGGGTCTCCTATATACAGCTTTGCAGTTTGGAAAATAGGAAGTATACAAAAGAACTTAACTCTTGCTTTTACTTATAGTATTTGTTTTACCTTAAAAAAAAAAAACACTTTCTGCCTAAGGGATAATTTCATTATGCTGAAGACAAATGTTCACATAAAAAAAAATCTTACAGAGGTAGCATTGATGAAATAGAATGTAAATGAATCCTAATTGGGCATACCCCTCCCAACTCAGAAAGAAGTAACTAATTTATTTCCCTCCAAAAAAGGCAAAAGACATTAAGAATATTAGCATCAACCTGGATTTCTTGTTTCTACAAAACTTCAGAGTCTGCATCTTCTGGGGATGAAGATTGGACAGGAAGTGAACTTTTCTATGGATAAAAACCAGACAAATATTAATGCCACAATTTTAGAAACTTAAGACCTTGTAGAGAAAAATGCCTCCAGTTCAAAACCTTTTTGTGTGTTTTGGTTAACGTTTGTTTTCTTTTGATTAAGATGAGCTTTGTAGAGGGTATTTTCGGAAAAATTCACAATTTCATAGATATTTACAAACTTTGATTTCAACTTGTATTTGTCTTTTGAAATAGTATTTGATATTTCCATAGGTGAATTATTAACCCCGGACATTGACTTTCATATTTCCCTGCTGTAATGAAAAGCTAAAATGGAAAGTGTTAAAAAAAAGAGGTAAGGTCTCTTAGCATATTGATCATGATCCAGTTTTTCTATATACAAATAGAAGATTTTCTCTGAATTTTGCCAACTAAGTATTTTTTTGACTTTTCTAGATTTTAGATCATCGGCCAAGAGAGAAGACAACTCATTTTGCCATATACGCTCAGTCACAAGGAGATGATTTTCCCACAGTGTTTATAGAGTGGACCAGAGAACTCATCACCTTACATTCAAGTCTTTACAACATCCCTCATATCACAACAAGCACTCTCAATGACTTTTATTAAGAAGTATTCTTTAGAGAAGATACATTTACATGGAGTGATGATAATCATAGGCTTAGATCATTATAGAAGTCACCTAATAGAAGTTGTTGTTATACCCCTGTCATTGCAAAGTTACCCCTCTAAATAAGCCTTTTCATAAGAATATATATAGTGGTTATAGTGTGGAGATCACAAAGATAGATCAAGAACAGAGGATGAACGAGAACTCAGCTGTGCCATTCTTTGGTGACCAGATACTTAATGATCTAGATTTACAGTTCTAATTATGGCATCAGAACGCATACACAAATGTTATGTCTTAAACATCTTAGATATAAAGTTATAGGAAAGGTTATGTGCTTTGGAATGCTGTGTCATACGGATTTAAAGTTAGCTTTAGTGATGAAAAAAATCACTAAACACATGGAAAACACAGGGGTGGGGTTTGAAAAATTTGTGTCAGGAAATATGAGACTAAAAAACAGCAAAAATTTTAAACATATGTAAATGTTTCGTATTATTGTAAATATTTTGCACACAAGTTAAAGTACATACTATAGTTAGAAATTTGATGTTTCATCTATATCCATCAAACTATATTAAATTGAGACAAAAATTTTGGAAAATCTTTCATTGGAAAATGGGGGAGAGTTTTATATTTCGGGTTCTTTTATAGGGCAAATGCAAAAAAAAGTTCCACTAGAATAACCCAGTGACTTTTACGTGTCCAGCTGAAAAAGATGGGAGCTTTATGCAGTTTTGTTTCTCTTTGAGTTTAAATGAACTCAGAGGGGGCGCCTGGGTGGCTCAGATGGTTAAGCGTCTGCCTTTGGCTCAGGTCATGATCCCAGGGTCCTGGGATCGAGTCCCGCATCGGGCTCCCTGCTCCTTGGGAGCCTGCTTCTCCCTCTGCCTCTCCCTCTCTCTCTCTCTCTGTCTGTCTCTCATGAATAAATAAATAAAATCTTTAAAAAAGAATAAATGAACTCAGAGGAATAGAGTTGTTCACACCAGCCTTACAGCAAAATTAATAACTGAATTCTCACCTTTGTCAGTTGGCCAATACAGAAGGCAAATGAGAGGATAGTTATAATGATACCAAGCATTACTGCATAAATAATTCCTATTATCGCTATGGGAGAAAAAGAGAACAGAAAATTACAAAAGTATGAGATAAGCTACCACATATCAACTAAAAAATAAAACAGGTAAAATCAAAGTAATATCACTTTGCCTTTTTATGGAAAATATACTAATATGCTTTTATGCAATTATATATTTTTAAAAAATTAGGTTTTTCACAGTAACCATGTGGGAGAATGGAACTTTGAGCACTAACATCTTTGTCCAAGGTCACACATCTAATGACAACCAAGGCTTCAGAGTTCCAACTCACTCCCATTGTTCTTTACAGGACCCCACAGGCATAATTATGGAGAAGAGCCATGTGGACATTCTACCTCGATATGGAAAAAACCACAAACTCATAGTTTCAAAGTTATGAGAGAAAATGTCTTGATGTACAAAAGGGTATTGGGCAGATCATTGAATCAGCAGTTTTGGAGGAAATAAACTCAATATAAAATACACTAATATGATATAAAATGTGTACACTAATTAGTGTAATTCTAATGTAATATACAAAATACACTACACTGGAAATATACTGAAAATATTTCTCAAATCTTTTACATGTTGAGAATGAAACAAAATTTAAGTTAGAGGTAGTCTTGCTCACTCATGCATATTTGTTGTGCTTTCAAATGAAGTAAGTAGAACTGAAGGCAAGACACAGAAGTAAAATGGCATATTTATTTGGCTAATTGATATTTAAAAGACTTATTATTGATTTTTTAAAAAGTAAAAGTAGTTTTTCCTGCCACTGGTATTGCCCAGCCTTCCTGTCCATGTAGCTTTAATTCATGAGCTAGTGACTCGATTCTACAATCCATTTTTCTTGTGCGAAGAATGGATGTAGGCCAAGTGTGAAGGGAGGCTTAGAAAGGTGGAATAGTAAATGAGTACATAAATCAACCAAAGCCAGATCCACAGCAGCACCTAAGAAGTGGGGATGACAGTCCTCCAGTCAGAGAGGGTCGGGAGGATAACCCTAAAGTGGTAGCATAGGGCCCCAAACGAATCAGGATTGAGATATAAATGGTCTATATTTATTCCTGATATGTAATCAGATGATTTTAAGCTCCTTGCTTTCTTTACAAGTAGGAAACAAGGAAGTTCAATTGTTTTATAAGCTTCTATGAGACTTCTCTCAAGTACCCGTGGTTGGTTAGAAAGCTAAAAAATCTAAATTAAAAGAAAAATTATCAAATAAGGTACTGCTAGTTCCAAAATATTTAGGAAAATAAGAAATGCATATTTTAATTTTAAAAAGAACATATTTTCCTTGCCTTTACAATTTTGTATCATGAAAGCTAATAATATACCCTCTTTTGTTTTAAAACCTGATACTTCTTGGGGTGCCTCGGTGGCTCAGTCAGTTAGGCCTCTGACTCTTGGTTCTGGTTCAGGTCATGATCTTGAGGTCATCAGATGGAGCCGCACATCAGGCTCTGTGGTGAACATGGAGTCTGCTTGAGATTCTTTCGTTCTTCCTCTCCCTCCCCGTCTGCTCCTCCCCACTCTCTCTCTTTCTCAAACAAATAAATAAAATCCTTAAAGAAATTAAAAAGATAAAAATTGATGCTTCTTATTTTCTTAGGCATTTGGAACTAGCAATGTGTCATTTAAGATGAAATTATTGTGACTCTACATCAAGTATTAACATACCTGGTTCAGAGAAAGTGTGGCTTATTTGTTGCCTTGCTCCTAAAAACACAAAATTTCAAAATACATAGGGTGTATCTTTAAAGTTCAGAATCAGAATACATAGGGTGTATCTTTAAAGTTCCATTTTGGAATTACATTGTTTAGTGAGTTTCTTTTTATTAACTGTGTTTGGGAAGCTATTGTTCAATTTTAAATAGTTAGCTAGTAAAACTTCTGAGGTAATGTGTCAATTTTAACATTAGTAATTCCACTATCTACTTTCACCTACCCAACGGGTATTCATGGGTCGAACCTTAGCAAACCATCTCCTTAAATGAAGGAAAGGGTATGAGAAAGTACTGGAAGAAACACTTATGGACTTCTACAAGAAGCAGTGCATTTAAAAATATATGTAAAATTGCGGAGAAGAAGGGCGACCCAATGAGCCATTATCCCACATGAACTTCAGTCCAAACCCAAGAGAGGTCATGTTGGTACCGATTTTCTAGCTTTACACCACAGCCACCATCTGAATCCAAATTCTTATTGTGTCTCATCTGAGCTTTTGACCACTGTTGCACTGGATTCCCTGTCTGCAGAAGTTTCTAGTTTGTTGCCTCAAAGCACCTTAAGGCACCACTAGCGTTAACCTGATTATGTTTCTTTCTCTGCAGTCACCGATGCTACTTTATGTCATGAAGTAGTAAGACTACTACAGCCTTAGAGTTTTCTTGAATTTAGTTATCACAAATAACATATTGTACCATATGGTGTCATGTAGTCAGGGACTTGGTTATATCGGGTCATTCTTTAGAGGTTATGTTTAAAGGTTAATTGGGGCTTGTCTTCTCTTTCTTCATGGCAGTTGATAGTTGTGGTTAGTGTTTGAGCTCTGGAACAAAACAGGTGGGGTTTTAGTCGCAAGAATCTCTCTTACTAATTACGTGGCCTTGGACAAGTTCCTTAATTGCTTTGTGCTTTACCAATTTCTTAGGCAAAGGAAGATTGTAATACCTATCTCTTTGGCTTCCTGTAAGGATGAAATTAGGTAATGCATGAAAACACTTACAATGCCCCGCCATGCTAGCCATTATTTCTAGGATTCAGGGCATGTAGCACTGTGTGTCTATATTTGACCTTTAAATGATGTCCAGTTGGACACCCTCCTGTTGGCTTCACATTGAAGCCACTTTGAAAATTAGATTGTTTCATGGAACCTAGAAGCCTAATAATTAGTTCCCAGCCTTAGCCTAATTTTCCTCCCCTGGTCTCTGTTCTTAAAATCTGCTGCTTCCGTTTATCCCAGTGCATTTTCTCCATGTTTCTATTAGGTATTGATTCTGCAGCTACTCTAAGTATTTGCTGAGCCTTTTTAAAAAAAATCTGGAGTATCCTGCCTAAACCCCACCTATGAGAGATAATTTTCCTTTCTACTTTCAGCCAGCTCTTGTGAAGTCATCTTCTTTTTCTGAGAAAAATATCCAGGGACAGCAAATGCAGCCTGACCGCCCTTCTCTCATGCCCAGCGTGGCTTAGAGTTATCATTTACTAGGAAGTTATGATATGTCAGGCTTGGGGTGAAGCAATTTTGCATACATCTTCTTATTTGATCTCTAGAGAAATATTGTAAGATGAGAACTATGGGCTCATTTGAAAATGAAGGGGACAGAAACCCCCTGGGGACCTCACTCAGGGTCAGCAGGGGGGACAGCTGACCCTGCATGGTTTGACCCCAGCCCTCCTCACCACTGCACGATGGGTCCCTTCCATCTGGCCCACCATTTCATGGTCACAGTCAGCACTTATGTGCTCTGCTAGATTGTTTTAATTTCTTTAGCCCACAGTATTATTTCTGCATGATATTCCAGAAGTGAGAATTCCTCTGGAGTAGGGATTGTGTCTACTTGGCGCTGTTTCTCAGTGTTGGTCACAGTTTTGCCACAGTGATGGGTCCAGTTGAATAGAATTGCATCATAATAATGAAGTCCAAAGCAACTATTTTAAAACATGAACAAACCCTGCTTTTTTTTTTGTTTCTCTCTTTTTTCTTTGTCTCTCAAATTCCACGTATGAGCGAAATCATACAGTATTTGTTTTTCTCTGACTGACTTATTTCACTTAGCATTATACCCTGTAGATCCATCCATGTTGTTGCAAATGGCAAGATTTCATTCCTTTTTATAGCTGAGTAACATTCCATTGTGTATATGTACCACATCTTCCTTATCCATACACCTATGGATGGACACTTGGGCAGTTTCCCTATCTTGGCTACTCTAAGTAATGCTGCAGTAAACGTAGGGATGCATATATATTTTCCAGTTAGTGTTTTCATTTGCTCCTGGTAAATATTCAGTAGTGGAATTATTGGGTCATATTTTTAATTTTTGCAGGAAACGCCATACTGTTTTTCATAGTGGCTGCATCAGCTTGCATTTCTACCAATAGTGAAATAGTTGAAGGGCATTAAGAGTACATTTCCTGTGATCATTTTATTGTACACCTGAAACTAATACCATACTGTATGTTAATTATACTTGAATTACAAAAAAATTAAAAAATGAATAAACTTTGTCCCCTGCCTGGGAATTGTTGGTGTCTAGTAACCAAAGGTTCTTGTCCTGCACCAGAAGTGGTGAGTGATGGTTTCTCTGTGGAAACTAAACCTGTAGAAAAGAGAAATTGAGAAAAAGATCAGCAATGAGGTCACTGAGTGGACTCTAGAGCATATCATAAAATGCAAATTTATGCCACGTCCCTCCCAGTGGCAGCTCCAGAATTTCTACATAGCAGGGGCTTACAGATGAGGAAAGTATATCTTAATTTCCTCATGTGTAAAATGATAAAATCTGCCTCAAAATGTCATTGTAAGGACTAAAGTAGGTTTGTGCATGTGTGTACGTGTACACACCCACATTAGTAGAGTACTTGGCACATAATGAGCATGACATACATGTTGGTTATAATTGTTAACATTCTTATAAAAGGAGGAGAGACTGGAAGCTGCTTTTGCATGGCATTTTCCATAACTTTGGGAAATTATCAATGTTAAAGAAAGGGAGAGGCTCATGATGATGACATAGGACAAAAGTTCTGCCTCTTGCCTCCCTGTCTCTACCTCCTTGGTACAATTCTACTTCGCTGGTAAAAATTAAAACCAAGACATGACGAAATTCAATTTTTTTTGGCTTGATAGAGGATGAGTCAATTCTAAGGTTCCCCATCTATACTTCTTTTGTCTCTTTCTAAAGTAGCATTTCAGAATTTTAATAGAATTGTAGGAAATGCTGGCTCCAGTCTAAGATTACTGGCTGAGGACCCAGATAAACAAGTGATGCAATGAATTCTAGGTTATTCTTTAGAATAAAAACATATAAGCACACAAACACGAATACTAGGTATGTATTCTCACATAGCCTTTTAAAATCTCATTAAATATATTATAAATTGATTTTTATAATTAAATAATTATACTTATATTTCAAAATTTTATAAATATAAAATTTATGAATTATTATATAAGGTTTTTATAAATTAAATGGGATTTTTTTATTACAAAAGTAATCTAGGGGCGTCTGGGTGGCTTAGTAGGTTAAGCATCTGCCTTCGGCTCAGGTCATGATCCCAGGGTCCTGGAATCAAGCCTGCATTGGGTTCCTTGTTCAGCAGGGAGTCTGTTTCTCCCTCTTCCTCTACCCCTTCCCCCCTCCCCCTGCTCATGGTCTCTTGATCTCTCTTTCTCTCTCAAATAAATAAATAAGATCTTTTTTTAAAAAAAGTAATCTAGATTCAATGAAGAAAAGTTGGGAAATACAAGAAAGCACCAAGAACAGTATAAAAATCATCTATTATCAAACCACCCAGAGATGGACACTTTTAACATTTTGGTGTCTAGCCATCTGAAATTTAGCTATTGCATCTAAATATAGGAGCATTGTGTTTAAGTATGTATAAATATGTACATAGTGTTTAAAATATATATACGACAGACATGTACCCTATGTTGTTGAATATTCTTCTATGATAAGATGTTTAATGGCTGTATAGTATTCCATTGTATGAATGTATCATAGTTTAATTATCAATCTCTGACTTTGAGCATTTATGTTATTTTTATGCTTCTCAGAGTTATAAAACACTCTTAGATAACCATCAGCGTACTAAACTCTGTGCATTTATCTCTGCTTATTGCTTTGAGACACTCTAGTGAGGGAAATTGTGCCCAGGTATGACAAAGATGGGGTGGAAGGGCACCTGCAGACATTCCCCAGAGAGACTGTCACCTTGGCTCCTCAACTAAATGCTCGAGGTTTCCTGGAGAATCCACACAGAATTGAAAAATGTCTTTGACATTTCTGGTCAGTCTACTCAAGGACCAAGTACTAAAACCTGCCTCTTTCTACCAGCTGCCAACGAATCCTTACCCCCAAATTGTGTACGCAGGATTCATCGTCCCTTAACTGTCTGCAATGTTTTCTCCTCTCTTATAAATTCAATTTTCATCTTGTTCCTCGATTTGGTTCTACCACCTGATTCATCACATGTATTTAAACAATTGCTACACAAATGAGCTAAATAGCATGGTAAATAACATATATCTCTAAGTTAATCTTTTTTTTTAAGGATTTTATTTATTTATTTGACAGAAAGAGGAAGGACTGGGAGAGGGAGAAGTAGGCTTCCCGCTGAGCAGGGAGCCCGATGCGGGACTTGATCCCAGGACCCTGGGATCATGACCTGAGCGGAAGGCAGACGCTTAACAACTGAGCCACCCAGGCGCCCCCTAAGTTCATCTTCAACACTCAAGTGTGATTATTTAAAAGATAATTTAAGAAGAAATACCTGATGATAGGAATTTTAACTTTCAACATACATTGAAATCAAAATTATGGAAAGGAAAATTTTTATTAAGAATCAATGAAACTACATAAAAATATAAAAAAGGATAACTAATGAACTAAAATTATCTATATCTCTTAGTTAATGTTACATCTCCTGTACACCTTTCAGTTCAGCATAATTATTTACAGGTAGGGCATACATTTATAATCACTTTAGGACACCAAATGGGTTCTTTTGAAACATAAACTTGTTTCCAGGGCTGCTAGTTCCCAGGGCTAGCTCATTTTGAATTCCCTCAGCATTAGAACAGTGTTTTGCTCATAATAGGTATTCAGTGAAATACTAATAGTTATAAATTTTTAGCCAATTTCTTATAGAGAAACAACCAGGGGAGTTTGCAGATTGCATCTAAAATGAACATAACAGTGAATTAAACAAGCCATATGGCAAAGTGGCATCCACAGAATGAGGACAAGCGTATTTGAAAAACAGGCATTCACAGAAGACCAACAAAATATTTTCAACATTTCAATAACAAGCACATACTTTTAAGACCAAAAAAAATCTAAAACTGAAAAACAAAACAATCCACACCAAAGTTTTTAAGAGTTAAAAGAGTTAAAATGTTAAAAATTTAACCAAAGCCATTGAGTTTTTACTGTGAACACAAATATGCCCTACTCCAGGCTTCCTGACTCTTCTGCAGGACATCAAGGACCGCCTAAGTGGGGATTTGCAGGGGTCAGATAGGGAGGTGCTCAGTCTATGGGTGGGTGCCCCCTCTTCTTTGTGAACACCTGTAAGACCCTGCATGACCCAGCCCCCCACCTGTCTCCCCGTCTAGTTGCTTGCCCCTCAACCTTCTCTCTCCAGGCTCCAGGCTTGCTAGACACATTTTCGTTCCTCAAATGCACCATACTCTTAACCATGCCCATACCTTTGTGCCTCCTCTTCCCTCTGCCTGATGTATCCCTTCCCAACCCCATCTGGCCTAGCTGTCTGCCTTTCAGGTCTCAGTTCAATACCATTTCCTTTTTGAGATCCTTTCTTATCTCCCCTACTTGGACCACAAACTCCACCAAGTACCCAGGGCTTGGCATGGTGTGGTAAAGGCTCAATGAAATCTTATGATTGCCTGTTTGGAATCCAGATATGTCTTCCAAGGGCCCCAGTGGTTCCTGGGAACCTTGGGTATTCATTCACTTATTCATTAGGTCACAAAATTGTTTTAGCATGCCTACTTTGTGGTAGGTACAAAGAACACAATAACTAACTAACTAACTAACTAAACTAACTAACTAACTAATTAAATCATGGTCTTCCCAGCAAGGAAATTCCAACTTAGTAAAGAGACACAACGATTTGATCTAAGTCTCATAATGAGTTTTAGGTGGTGGTGACGTGCAGCACAAAGGAGGCTGTGGTCAATTCTATGGGGAGGAGGAGGAGGTCGAAAGAACTCAGGGAGGTGTTTTTGGAACTCATGTTGCAAGAACTCTAGGATTTTGACTGTGTGGATATTTAGGTACTGAGTCAGCAGTGCCAGCCATGCCCTGGAGTTTGACACATCACTGAGGGATCTGCAAGCATCTATGGGGCTACAGCGCAACATGTGAATAGAGCAACGCCGCGAGCAAGCGAGGGAAACAGCTGAAGAGGTTAGCAGAGCACAGGAGCACCATGTGTTGCGGGCCCTGGTAGGGAATTCGGACTGTATCCTTAAAGCAGTGGAGAGACAATAAAGGGTTTGAGGCCAAATTTTCATTTCAGGGAGATCACTGTGAATAGTAGGTTGGAGGATGTGGGGGAAAAGAGCTTGCCCAGAACTCATCCCAAGAGGACTCTGCCTCTTGTTCAGTAGTGGCCAAGATAAGCAGGCCCTTTGTAACCAGCCATCCCTCCTCACAGAGGGTCCTTATCACTACTTGGCCTTGCTTTTGGTGGAGAAGACCTATAGTCTGAGGGCTTACTGACATAGAAAATGAAAGCATGTTGTAAAAAAAAAATATGGCAAAGACCCAACAATAGGATCTAACATCTCTTAAAACAGGTATTTTAGTGCTTTGAATTTTAAACAAATGAATGAGCAAAGTATATATAACTCTTTTTTTTTTTTTGGTATTGAAACGGGAAGATGTTTAGGGAGACAGACCTCATTAAAATAAGTTTTGAACTTTATCAAAACCATTTTCAGTCTCTAGCAAATAGATGTCTTTCTTCTCCAACAGCTATTTCTCAGAGGAAATGAGCATTTCGTGGAAATTTTGTTCGGAAGAAGCAGAGGCTGAAGAACAAGGCTCTAAACTATAGTCAGAACTCAGGAATATCTAACATTGAAGGCAACACATTGTTTAGAGAAAAAAAGTCCTTGAGGTAATTTCCAAAAATTACATATACTTGACTCAAGTCCCAACTGCGAATGTTGCATTCTACTACATAAAAACTGATTGGTGGTCAAATTGATTTGAGGTTGAAATTTTCTACTTATATTCTTAGAAATGCCTGCTTTAGTTCTCCAGATTTAGTTGCTTTGATGCAATTTCTTATTATAGTCACCTAAAGTCACCAACACAGTAAGTAAATAAATACAGTAAATAAATGCCCTAAGAGCAACTTGATAAAAAATGTTTTTAAACATCATTTCCTCAACAATCAAATATCTGGAACTGATCTATAAAAGGATCTTCGTCATGTTTTCCTTCCATTTTCAGAAAAAAAAATCTTGTATTTCAATAGTAGTTAATACCCATGCTTGCTCAGCAGTATGAGGAGGGCTCAGAATCTCTTACTAAAGTACATAGTTTACAAAAAAATGTCAGCTTGA